ACCCTCGAAAGCTTATGCTCCCAATACTTCTGTTAGTCTTAAAGGTGCCACAGGACCCTCTGTTGCTTTTTATGAGTGAAATTGTATCCTCTGATGGTTGGGAAAGGAAATGATACTGTGGAAGGAGACTTATCCAAAGGACAGGTGCAGACCCAGCAGTGCAATTGGGGGAAAGACAATGGGGTATCTGATAGTGGTTGTGAGAGATCTCAAATGGGGGTACCCGAAAAAAAATTGTGGGGAGGAGCTGCTGCCATCAAGCTTGAAAGTAAAACCATCCATATCTTGAGCATAGGATATGCCTGTGCTGCAGGATCCCGTTTCAGGTGGGGAGTCAGATTGCAGTTGTGTGGGGCTGGAGAAATCCAATGCTGTGAAAAGAGGTGCCGCCACCTAAAGAAAAGAGAATAGAAAGGATCCCTCCTGCCCTCAAAGCCTGGTGTCTCTGTCTCTGTCTCTGCAAGGTGACTACGATAACACCATTCGGGGAGAATGCCTGCGCCAACTCCTCAGCACCATCTCCCACCGTCCCCTCCCTCCTAATCAACGAGTTGAGCCTGGCCAACAGCACTGCCCCCTACCAGTTCATTGAGCTGAAGGGCAAACCTGGAGCCACCCTGGGAGGATATACCCTGGTGTTCTTCTCTGGGCAGGATGGCAAAGCATATGCCAGCATCCCACTACAGGGCACGTTCGGGGCCACGGGCCTGTTTGTGATTGCACCATCAGGACCGCCCAGGCCTGGTAAGGCTGACAATAGAGTACTGCATACAGGTGCTTCCTTCACTCCCACGCTGAGTCTAGAGTTGGGTTTTCTTTGGTGGGTGAAGTCCAGAAGGCAGCTTTCGGGAGGCAGATGGCTGGAGACTGAGTGGCTTCAGCATTGGGGGGATGGGTAATGGGCTATGAAGCCTTTGATCTGCAGGTTGCTGGTTCCAATATTGCCCATGTCAATAGTGTTTATATGTCAGATGTTTGGTAGCCTATGCAAAACGGACTGATGTTTTCAGTCAAGCTCCTCATGGACAAGTGGTAATCACCCCACTGAGCAGTCTACCTCAGGGCTGAATTCTCCTCTTGCCCCTCAGGGGCTGCTGGGAGGAAGCTTGTCTTGATGCTACACCTGTTCTGTGGAGAAACGGAAGGCTTCAGTCTCCAGGACAGCCAATAATCCTTTGACCAGCATTACACTCACATAGATAGACTTGTATATTAAACTATATGAGCCAACACCCTGCAGTGCTGCTGCCCCCATCCTGGCATTTGGAATAGGTGGTGGTTGATGTTTGCATGTCATATGCATTAATCTTGTCATTTACTTGCCTTAAATTCCTGTTGTGCTGTGTAAAGAGCCTACTGCTTCTCAGGCCTGGTCTACACTACGAGTTTAGTTCAAATTTAGCAGCGTTAAATCGAATTAACCCTGCACCCATCCACACAACGAAGCCATTTACTTTGACATAAAGGGCTCTTAAAATCGATTTCTGTACTCCTCCCCGATGAGGGGAGTAGCGCCAAAATCGACGTTGCCATTTCGAATTAGGGTTAGCGTGGCCACAATTTGACAGTATTGGCCTCCGGGAGCTATCCCGCAGTGCACCATTGTGACCGCTCTGGACAGCAATCTGAGCTCGGATGCACTGGCCAGGTAGACAGGAAAAGCCCCGCGAACTTTTGAATTTCATTTCCTGTTTGCCCAGCGTGGAGCACTGATCAGCACAGGTGACCACGCAGAGCTCATCAGCACAGTCAGAATCAAAAAAGAGCTCCAGCATGGACCGTACAGGAGATACTGAATCTGATCTCTGTATGGGGAGATGAATCTGTTCTATCAGAACTCGGTTCCAAAAGACGAAATGCCAAAACATTTGAAAAAATCTCCAAGGCCATGATGGACAGAGGCCACAACAGGGACTCAACACAGTGCTGCGTGAAACTTAAGGAGCTGAGACAAGCATACCAGAAAGCCAAAGAATCAAATGGACGCTCACGGAGGGAGGGGTGACTGACGACTGTAGCTATCCCACAGTTCCCGCACTCTCTGAAAACCATTTGAATTCTGGGTTGAGCTCCCAATGCCTGAAGGGTCAAAAACATTGTCGCGGGTGGTTCAGGGTATATGTCGTCAGCCCCCTGCCCCCCCCCCTCCTCCCGTGAAAGCAAAGGGGAAAAATCGTTTCTCGCCTTTTTTCACTGTCACCGTATGTCTACTGGATGCTGCTGGCAGACGCGGTGCTGCAGCGCTACACAGCAGCATCCCCTTGCCTTGCCTTGCCGATGGCAGACGGTGCAGTATGACTGGTAACCGTCATTATCATCCCGTGGGTGCTCCTGGCTAGCCTCGGTGAGGTTGGTCGGGGGCGCCTGGGCAGACATGGGTGCTCCTGGCTGGCCTTGGTTAGGTCAGTCGGGGGCGCCTGGACAAAAAAGGGAATGACTCCAGGTCATTCTCTTCTTTAAGTTTTGTGTAATGGAGATTCAATCCTGCCTGGAATATCATACCAGCTGGAGGCTTCTGCCTCAGGCTGCTCTCCCCGTCGGCAGCACTGCGCGGTCGCACCTACCCCAGCCTACCCCTTGCTCCCAGGGCTCACAATCAGATACTTAGACCTCTATATTTTGCTGCAAATAAAAAAATAAAGCTGCCGTTTAGAACTGTCCCCTAACATACATATCCTGGGACATTTTGTATTTTACCAGTGTCAACCAAAGGCCCACACACAAATGGAGATTCAGTCCTGCCTGTGCGTCTATCCTAGTGCTTATCACAGATTCCCATTTTCAGCTATAGGCTGAGCAAGTGCAGAATGATGGTTCACTCAACTTCGCTGTAAGCCAACCGCCCTTCCCTCCCCCCTTTGATCTCTGCTTGCAGAGGCAATAAAGTCAGTGTTGTTTCAAATTCATGCATTCTTTATTACTTCATCACACAAATGGGGAGATAACTGCCAAGGTAGCCCGGGAGGGGTTGGGGAGGAGGGAAGCAATGGGTGGGATTGTTGTAGGGGCACCCCCTAGAATAGCATGCAGCTCATCATTTCTGCAGGATGTTTGGGGCTCTGACCCGGCGCGGCCGTTTGCCTCTCTGGTACTTTAGTAGGCTTGCCTGATATTCTAGGCAGGACTGACTCTCCATTAGACAAAACTTAAAGAAAAGAATGACCTGGTGAGTCATTCCAATTTTTGTCCAGGCACCCCTGACCGACCTCACCAAGGCCAGCCAGGAGCACCCATGACAGCAGCAGATGGTACAGTATGACTGGTAACCATCTTTGCCGACTTGCAAAGCAGTAGACGGTACAGTATGGCTGGTAACAGTCTTTGCTAACTTGCAAAGGCAAGGGGATGCTGCTGTGTAGTGCTGCAGTACCGGGTCTGTCAGCAGCATCCAATAGACATACGGTGACAGTGAAAAAAGGCTGAATGGGCTCCATGGTTGTCGTGCTATGGCGTCTGCCTGGGCAATCCAGGGAAAAGGGCGCGAAATGATTGTCTGCTGTTGCTTTCACGGAGGGAGGCTTGACTGATGACATTTACCCATAACCACCCGCGACAAATTTTTGGCCCCATCAGGCATTGGGATCTCAACCCAGAATTCCAATGGGTGGGGGAGACTGCGGGAACTATGGGATAGCTATGGATAGCTACCCACAGTGCAACGCTCCAGAAATCAACGCTAGCCTCGGTACATGGACGCACACCGCCGAATTAATGTGCTTAGTGTGGCCGCATGCACTCGACTTTATACAATCGGTTGCCAAAAATCGAATTTTGTAAATTCGGAGTAATCCCGTAGTGTAGACATACCCTCAGAGATACCCTGAGCTGCTGGGCAGTCTGTGCTACCAGCAGTCAGTGGCTTCATTACAGCTTCAACCAACTTTTAATCACCCCAGTTTCAATTTCTGTTCTTGAGGTTGTGGTGTATTGAAAACAGTGTTAAAATTGTAAGCTAATACTTTAAATTTCAAGGGTTTTTCTGGGTCCTGTTTGCTGGCTAGGAGGCTCTGTACAGAAGCGTGCAAGCTGGATCTAGCAGCCGGCAATTTGCAGACAGCCTATAGTAAAGTGGGATGAGTTGTGCCTCTCTTCAGGAAGCAGCCTGCTTTGTCACTCTCCATTTTGGATCTGTTGTAACCTCCCAGCAAGAGTATTAATGGTTTTATCTGACTTCTCTGTGTATATGCCATGAGACATAACAGGGAGGCATCAATGAAATCTGCTTCTCATTGCTCTTGGCTTGTCACTTTGCCCTGCCTACTGTGTCTGGTTGCTCACCAACTTATCCCCCACTGTTTTCAGATCAGCAATTGCCGTTTGTCAAGAATGCCCCATCTGTTAGACGTGGCTCCAGCGCTGTGGCAGTGTACAACAGCCGTCAAGCAAGAATTCCTGTTGACATGATGGTGACTCTAGAGAACCTGGTGGATGCTCTGGTGTACACATGGGAATCTAGCACAGGCAGAGGACAGCTGAACCACCTCGGTCCATCGCACTTTGTGCCCTGTGCGGAAGAGAGGTGAGGTATCTTCTGGCTCCAAACATGTTATGAGCCTTCCATTTTAAAAGTCTCCAGGTTTTCTGTGCCTGGAGGCCCCAGCTGGCAGAAGATGGAGCTGCAAGGGCCTTGAGCATTCTACCTTATTACCCTCCAAATAGGAATGTGATGAGAATTGTAGAACTGAACTGGATGATGCACTGGAGAATGTAGTATATGGAACAATAATGCTCTACCAGGTGTGACCTGATGTCTTTTCTCCCTTAGAATACAAAAACTTGATGAGAATGAAATCTTACATCTACTGATTCAAAGCAGAATGAAGTCATAAGTCTTGACCATCCTCAAACTGCACTTATGACATAACAAATAATAATGGAAAGCAAACTTAAAGAAATTAAAGTAAAGTAAAATGATTCTCAAACATCAATCCCTGATGAACAAGTTCTCTAAAACTTAACAGAAAAGAAACCAATAGAATTCTTTAGTGATTAAGTAAAATATTCTATATTTAAGAGTAATTTCGAAAGAATCCCATCTCTGCTATAGAATTCTATAGGCTGGATTTAGATTTTTATACACAAGTATCTTATTCTTGGTTTTAAAATGTTGTAGGTATTTTTATAAGGAATATTTGTTGCATTATATGAAAGAACACAAACCATTGTAAAACTCAGAAAATAATTATCAGCTTTGGCTCTTTCCAAACCCATTGGAGTAGTTCTTAAATTTCAGCCAAAAAGTGGGTAAACTCCCACTTCTTGTTCATTGAAATGCTTTGCTGCTTATATATTTGTCAAGGAAAAAGGAGATGCTTTAGAAAAGTGGCACTGAAGTCCTCTGCCTCCTGAAGGGTGTGTTTGAGCCACTGGCCATAAGCCTGCCAGGACTTTTTGAGGCAATTGTTTGTAACTTAGTTATCTGGTTGTCTTCCTGACAATACAATGTGGCTTGCACTGCTTCTCCTTGTGGTAGAAAAATATTGTCTTTTTCATCATGGGGAGAATAGAAGCACAGTGTTGCCAAGTCTTGCAGTTTTGTTATGAGTCTCTGAGTGGGGGTGAGCATGAATGTGAGGGTGTGTAAAAGTTTCTAGTCCTGGGTGGGTGTAGAGAAACACTTGACCACTAAAGGCTCAGAAAACACTCCAGAAGGCAAATGATCACTCCAAAATGAAGGTGTTTTTTGAACAATCTCGTGATTTTTCAAGCCAATCTCATTATTTTTGAACACTGGAGGTTGGCAATATTGGGATTGTTACCTCACTTCCAACCAGAATCAAGCTGTCCAAAGTCAAATAGCCTTCCCTATGGCCAGAGACTCTCAAATATTCTGTTCCCCATCAGGGTCAAGGCAATTGGTTAATCCTGTCTCTGGGACACCTGCAAAAACTGATTAAAACACCTTCTACAAACATGCCTGTCCTAGCAAGCCATCCGCCATCTTGGATGAGCCTCCCCCATTGGCAGAAGCTGGGATTCTGAAGGGGAGGCCGTGGCTTGAGTGTCTTGAAGAAGCCCTTGAAATGCTGTATTAGTGAGATCTGACTCATTTCTCTTGGGGACAGGCCAGTGTCTCTGAGCCGCTGCTCCTGCTGTGATGTGAGTGCTGCGCTGGTATATGTCATCTCGGACCCTACACCTGGCTTGGAGAACAGCTGCCCCCTGAAGTCATTTGCTGTGGATCTTGATATGTGCCTGCTGACACCCAGTAAGAGGCGCTATCATCTCATGTGGTGTGGGGTTGGGGAGAGGCCTGGACTGATTTGAGGGAAATATTTTTGCTGAGTGTCCCTCCTGATATGGACCAGACAGTGTGGAGAATGAATGCATTAGTTCACCATGTCAGCGTGGACTATGCTGCACTCAGAGGCGAGCGGGGGTGTGTGCTGGTGATGGGGCCCCATGCCATTCGACCATTGGGAGTGTCAGTCTTGTCACTGGTGGGGTGGTGTTGACAGGCAGGGCAAGGTATTTAATTCCAGGCACCTCTCTGATCAGCCCTCTGTGGAAAGGCCATTCACTTTTCAGCAATGACAGGAAATCCCACCTCACGTCTCTCTGATGATAACTGGGGCATAGTCCGGGGGACCAAAAGCAAACCACCCTGTCCCAGCCCAGCAGGTCTAACTGTTGCAACAGGAACAAAGTGTTTGACATAACCGTAACCCCTCAGGTTGGTGACAGCGTATAGGAGAGTGTCCTACAGCCCTGCTGCAAGAGACTTGTCAGGAGCTGGGCTATGTTCAGTGGGTTTCCATGTCTTTGGCTCATTGCAGTGCCTTACACCCTGCAAAAGAATCCATTATTTGAGCAGAGGCTTAGCCAGAGCCTGCTTGAGGAATGGGTGGAACTGCTTCCCCGTGGCTGTTGTCAGACAGCTGCCTCAGTCTATCAGCCAGCTGAGGAGCATGGCTTTCCCCTTCCCCTATCTCGTGCAGTATTCCCAGGCTAGGAAGCTTGGGACTGGAGTTCTGATCCCCTTGCCTGGTCTTGTTTCATTGCCACTAACACCTAGGTTACCATGGGGTAGGGAGCATTCGGTAAAGCTGGCATACAAGTCTATGGAAAACCAGAAAACAGGCCCACATACAAGCAGAAATATCAGATGTTTCTATAAATTAGAAACCTCCTAGGGGAAAGGGAGTGAAGCTCCTTATGAATTTTGGCATGAGCCCAGCCATTGGTGGTGACACGTGACTGTAGAAAATCCAACTCTCGTCCCAGTCCCTGAATTCAGTGGATCCATAAACGCCATGGACAAACTCAGGCCAATACGAAGAGAGTGGAATCCCCTCACAACTGCTCTGTCATTTTGTCCTCTTCACCCTCTAACTATAGCTAGTTCCAGGACCTCCCATCCAAGTAGTAATCAGCCCCAACCCTGCCTAACTTCTGAGATCAGACAAGACTGGATGCTTTCAGGGTTATATGGCTAATTTAATAACATCTCCCCCTCCTCCCCTAGATTGCTCTATGTGGACCCCAAACTCTGAGAGGGCGCATGACAGCCTGGAGAAGGTATTAACGAAATCCATAGAGGAAAACTGTGCCTGCGGCATCTCCCAGTTCTATCTACACGGTCAGTACCAAACCCACTCACCTTCATCAAAATCCACTTTATATCGCCCTTCTCCTATTCCCGACCCCAGTGCAGCCCAGCCTACGTACTCTGACTGAAATAAGGAGGATGGGGCACTTTTATCTTCCTGGTGTGTTATGAGAGCAATGAACAGGCAGCCATTGGTGATAAAGGAAATGGACCCTTCCCAAAACATATGCTTCACTTAGAGACCTCTTGCACTGGCAGTCTGAGGTAATTCCTGAGTGTGATAAAGTAGGAGGGTCTGGCCAACACAAGGTGGGTGGGAAAGGAAGTAGCGAGAGGCAGGATCTGCCATTGGGGAGAGGAACATGAGGGAGGAGGAGGGTCTGATGTGAGTTGCTCATAACCAAGAAATGGCCAGTGCTGCAGGGAGGATGGAGAAAACTAGTCTCTTTCCTTTCTGCCATGCTGCAGGAAGCACAGGGAGAGTACCAGCACCTCGCAGGAGGTCTGAAAAGTGACCTGCCATTTGTGGCTAACTCCCACCAACTCTAATGGCAGTAAAGCACTGCTACTTGTGCCTTGGGAAACACCCCTGCTCCTAGCTGTTTAGCCTGGAACAGGTATTTTGTTATCAGGCTTCTGCTAAATGCCTTCTCTGAACTTTGGCTTGGATTTGGCCAAAACATCTACCTGAACCCAATTTTTTGGTACAACCCCCTCTTGGAGTGTCAGCCCAGAGTTCTGTGCATGGTAAAGCTCATCAGAACTGTGGTGAAAGTTAATGCAATATAACCGGGAGAGGGGCATTCAAAAATCTGTGTTGAATGACTCCCTAAACAAGCATCGTACATGAGCAGAAATGGTCCTATAGACTCTATCCCATTGAGGAGTCCATGAAATAAATTCAAACGCCTAAATGTGCAGAAGAAAAATTGGGTGCCCTCCTTGAAACACCTTAAAGGGGCCCAATTTCCAGATGGTGGGTGCTCAGCACTTTCTGGAAATTGGTCCCTGTGAAGGCTTCAGGGATTGGGCCTCCCCTTAACAGAGGCACCCAAAGTTACTTGTCACATCTGAACAGGTAGACCAAGCCAGCTCTGGAGACATGTAAGAACTATTGCTTTTCAGGAAGTGAAGTACTCATATTTTATTTTGTAAAGCTGGTAACTTGGATACTACTTTCTATCCATGACAGTTTATCAAGATGTATCCCTATTGGCCTTTCTACACTGAACCAAACAGAGAGGGCACAAAATTGAGCTCGGAATGGGAACCTGATTATGGGCTAGCCTACCACCTCTCCAGAATGAAATCCGAGATGGGCTGATGGGAGGTAGTGCATTGATGGGGCTGGGGGCCAGGGTTTGGGTTTGCGTTTGCAGCACACTGGTTTGGATTTGATGGTGCTGAAATCTCATGAATTTTTGAACCGAGATAGAAATTTTGCAGATTTATGGGGGTGGGGAGGAGAAAGGCAATCCATCCAAACTGAACCAGAATCTCTTCTTTTCCAGCAGAACTCAACTTCACCTGCACAGACTCCATGTTGCAGCTTTCAGGTCAGGTGTGGGCCAAGTCACCAGAGCAGCAGCATCTAATTCTAAACTGGCACAGGGACTTCGCCGCCAGCCCTCATCCCTTTTCTGTGGATGGGAGAGTACTTAAAACAAACAAAGAGTGTGTCGCTCCAGACAACGCAGTGTCAGCGTCACAGAATGGCTGTGAGTAAAGGAAAAATTGACACAATGATTCGCCCACAAGCTCGAGTGTGCTGGGTCTAGAATGCCAGCTCTGTAGAATATCCATGGTGGATATTCTACAGAGCTGGCATTGAACAAGGATGAGGGGGGTGATCTAAAGCAGGTGACATCTAGACCCTCATCTCCACAAACAGGTCTAGTAGAAGCCAATGGGACCTGGCCCTAGAGAAGTAAGACGATTCAGCTTCTCTGAAGTTAACGGTGATGTGCTAGTCCTGTCACTTCTGTAGTAGTCTTGCAATGTGCAAAACTAAAAAAGACCAGTCTTTTCAGAGAGCAGTGTGAAGGACAGTATGCCTTGCTGGAAGGCACTCTGCTACCCTAGGGTTACCAGATGTCCCATTTTTAAAGGGACAGTCCCGTTTTTTGGGACTTTTTCTTATATAGGTGCCTATTACCCCCCAACCCATCCCATTTTTTCACAGTTGGGATCTGGCAACCCTATGCTACCTTGATGATGGGCATGGTCAGGACTGAATTAACTTTTTGTTGGCCTGGTACCAAACATATTTGTGGGCCCCCCATTGGAGAAATAGGGCATGTGATGGGGGCGGTCTGCAGAGCGAGGGGCCGGTTGGGGGCAATGAGGCGCAATGTAGCGGAAGTTGCCCCCCTCAGCCCAGCACAAGGGCACTGTTTACAAACCCACAACTGTTAGATGCACACTGGCCCCACCCAGCCCTGCACTGCCAGTGTGCCCCTTCCACACGGCCCTCCTGCCCAGTGCCCTGCCCTTATGCCCAGCACTCCCTCACCCAGAGACCTCCCCCACAGATTCCTATGCCCAATGCCCCCGGACCCGCTATGTCCAGCTCCCCCTGCCCAGAGACCCCTTCTGCTGACCTTCCACCACAACTGCACAGCACCCTGCACACCATACCCCCTGCCCAGCTCCCCCACCCACAGATCCCCTACTGTCCAGCACCCCCTTCACAGTCCCACCATCGCAGCTATACAGCGCCCCATATTCCTGAGGGAATTCTGCATCAAATTCTGTGCATAATATTTTAAAATTCTGCAATATTTTTTTTTACAATAAATAAATGTGCTCCACCATGACAGTGGGGAGCACAGGCCACTGGCTGCATGGAGGTGGGAGAATACCCTGCAGCCTCCCCCGCCCCCTTGGGACAGGGACTTGGCAGTGAAGCTGAACCTGACCCTGACACAGCACGAGGGCCAGGCCTGCCACAGAAACACCCTGGGGCCTTGCCCCTTTTGCCCAGGCACACCAGATGTGGGCAGGGAGGCTCAGCCTGGCAGCAGGATCCAAGTGCAGAGGGACTTAGTGTGGGGGGATCTAAATGGGGGTAAGAGAGTTCTGTGGGGGGAAGTCTGGGTGCAGGCAGCTCAGTGGGGGATCTGGATACACAGAGAGGTTCCAGGTGCAGGGACAATGGGAGTCTGCAGGAGGGACCAAGTGAAAGTGGTTGGAGCTCAGTTGGGTGGGGGGTGTCTGGATGCAGAGGAGGTGGGATTCATTTGGTTGGTGGTCCAGGTGCAGGTGGTTTGGGCTCAGTAGGGAGGGTGTCTGGGGGGGGGCTCATCGGGGTGGTACAGATGCAGGGGTGGTGAGGCTTGTCAGGATGAGGGTTTGATGGGCCTGCTTAACAGGGGAGCCCCAGCTGCTGCCAAGGGGATCTGCATGCTAGGCCCCCGCTTCCCCTATCCCCTTCTCTTCCCCTCCCCTCCCATGCCCCTTCCCCACCACTCCATCTCCTCCCCATCCCACCCCCTTCATTCCCCCTGCCCCCGCTTCCCCATCCCCCATCCCCTTCTCTTCCCCACTGCTCCATCTCCTCCCCATCCCACCCCCTTCCTTCCCTCTGCCCTCTTTTCCCCAGCCCCGCTTCCCCTGCCCCCGCCCGTTCCCCACTGCCCCATCCCACCCCCTTCCTTCCACCCTGCCTCTTCCTCCCTGCTCCCGCTTCCCCTGCCCCCTTCTCTTCCCCATCCCATGCCCCTTCCCCACTGCCCCACCCCCTTCCTTCCTCCCTCACTGCCTCTTTTCCCCGGCCCCGCTTCCCTCATCCCCTTCTCTTCCCCACCGCTTCATCTCCTCCCCAGGCTTGGGGGGCAGGGGGAACCGCACCCCCCCCCCCAGCATGAGCCGGCAGAGCAGGCTGGGGCTGGGTTGCTGCACTTCCTGCCTCCTGACTGCAGGGTGGGCCCGACCCTGCACTCACGGGGCTGCAGGAAGTGGAGTGACCAGGCCCCAGCCCACTCCGCTCTGCTCCCCTGGCTCCCAGCCTTGGGACTGGGGGGACAGGGGGGAACTGCCCCCCAGCACTCACCAGTGGCGCGGAGTGGGCTGGGGCCAGGTCGCTCCCCTTCCCACCGCCCGGTAAGTGCAGGGCGCGCCCAACCCCTGCTGCAGTCCCCCGGGACGTTTCTCAGGGGAAGGGATGGAGTGGGGGCGGAGCTGTGACGGAGCAGGGGTGGGAAGAGGCAAGGCGGGGATGGAGCAGAGGCAGGGCTGGGGTGGAGGAGGGGTGGGAAGGGGCAGGGCTGGGGCAGAGCAGGGGTGGGAAGAGGTGGGGTGGGGACGGAGCAGGGGCAGGGCTGGGGCAGAGCAGGGGTGGGAAGAGGCAGGGCAGGGACGGATCAGGGGCAGGGCTGGGGCAGAGCAGGGGTGGGAAGAGGCGGGGGCAGAGCAGGGTGGAGCAAGGGTGGGGGCAGCTTTCCTGACCGGCATATCCGGCCGGGGCCCCTTCTGACTCTGGGCCTGGCGACATGGTAAACCCGGTACTGGGCACGGTATAAGGCCCTGAATAGAATACAAGGCCTTGCTAGGTTACAGAATTAGTCACAACCCGCACTGTCTAACCTGCAGTAAGTTCACATTCAGCAAACCCTAGCCTCAGGCGGCCAAAGCAGCCCAATAGCCTTGCAGCCAATGGCATGCACTCAAAGGGCACAATCAATGACCCTCCCTCCGCATGAAACGTTGTCCTATTTGGTGATGGCACAGCAATGCTTCATTGTAGCCCTTGGGATATGCCTGATCTTACAGGATTCAAAATGTGGGGGAGAGCTCCATATGGGGCTGTACTGCCACATCTTTTGCTCGCAGCACCCCAGTAAAACAATACACCACCTAGGACCAACAGCAATTCAAAGCGGGTTACAGTTAAAACAATAATGCTGTGTAGTGAGCTTTTTCCAGGGATTTGAGCCCAGTGAGGTGCAAAGACAAGGCTGTATAGGTCACTGATGTGTTCACTATAAGGAACCTTGCTCTCCTGAAGTGCAGTATCTGCTAGATGAGCAATACCTTACATAATTCAGCCAAATCTCCACCTGTCTTCCCTTCCTTTTTCCCACAGCCTCCTTCCAAGCCTGGGAAATAGCCCTCTTTGTCCTGGGATCTATCCTGCTCACACTCACACTAGTTGCTGTAGCTGTCTCTTACTTCAAAAGGTAAGAAATCATCATGTCTGCCTATTGCCTTATGTACCAGGGGCAGCCACGAGTGACTCCTTCCCTACCCTACCCCATCATGCGTCAATGATCCTGTCCTTAGTGTGGGGCTTAATGCTCTACCGAAAGACCTGTGCACTCCACAAGAGACTGGACCTAAATTCAGTGGTGGGGATCCCCTGGTGCAGCAGACTGCAGCTCCTCCATCAGTTTCAGGTCATCTTGTAATGGAGGGTTTTCATGAAGTCAGTATATGATCAGTGTATAGAATACCATGGGTGCCATGTTAAACTCAGTCTGTTTTCTGCTGCTCAGAATGCTTGTACTGATAACTTCTGCCATTATGTTTTGGCCAGGGGGAAGCTGGAGGGCCTGGTGACAGGGTAGAGAAGTGTGGGTGCTCCTGGCGCCCTGGGATGGGGAGGGGACTCTCTTAGCACTAGGGAGGAGTTGCCTCTTGTCCCTTGAAGGGCAGGAGAGATGTGACTTCCCACTTAGAGTCAGTCCTCCAAACGACTAGTTCCCGTCTCTGGCTGCTGCCAAGAGTCTCAATCTCCCGGGTGTTAGTGTGGTATCACTGATAGGCTCTTGGATGGCTTTGCTGATGTTATCCACATTGAAAGCTTTGACAATACTGAATTTTAAACATTATTTGTAACTAGAGCAGAGAAGTTCTTTTCTCACTAACTCTTCCCCATTTGTTCAAATATTTTTATTTTGTATATTTGATAGGACACCGTCTAATCAATTTACTTTCTCCCAGTCTACCATGGGCTGAAAAAATACTTAAATCTGAATAGGGGATTAGAAAAACCCTTTAACATTTCTTTAAAAAGAACTTTAGGTATAGCCTGTGGGGGCTTAAAAATTGATTCCTAAAAAATCAGTCAGACACATACTCAACTTGAATTTCTTGAAACTAATAATGTTATGTGCATTGCCACTAGAAGGCCTCAGAGTCAACACTCATAAGCTGAATGGGGATAGTGGATACCTCTGAGCTTTGTCTGCAGACTTGGGAAGACAATACTGTCCACTAGCTGCATTTAGTTCATAGTTGGAAGGTTGTCAGCATAACTATAAGGACTAGAAGGTTATTTTTAAATGAAGGTTTGGGTTAGCTTTTATAGTAAGTCTAAAGCCAGGGCTACAGAATTGTTAAACATGAGACCCTGACTGTATTGGGCTGCATACTTAGGGGCTCTCCCTTTATCCACCCTCTATGAAGGAGCAAAGCAACTAACCTTGTCGCATTTTCACCCATTATTTAGACACTCCCTGAATTACACCACCATAGAAATGAATGACCGCAGACAGATGGCAGCAGACTTCTAACTCTTCCAGGAAAAATGTCACTGGCAAGATCCATTATTCTAGGGGTGGGTGGGGCTTGCATCTCAAGGTGAGCGAGCTGTCTGTCCAGTACCCTCCCCGACACCAGGATAGTTGCACAGACCCACTCTACAGCGAGAATGTAACTTTACATTTAAAGTGCCTGGGTTATTTTTTAAACTCTGAGTGGTCTACAACTGACTAAAAGATTTAAGAAATGGGCTTGTGGCAGATGCAGAGCTTGAAAGGCCCTGAGCTGCAGCAGGATGGCTGTCCCCATTGTGGATGGGCTGCCAGACTGGGTGAGGAGACGACAATATTGTTCCCTAGGCTTCTCCCAAGACAAATTTGGTACCGGTGGTAAATCAAGTGGTGGCAGCTTGCAGGGGAACGGGAACTGTCCCAAGCTCTAGTCAGCTGGGGAAAAGATTAACAGAAGGACAGACTGGCTTATCCTAGAAGATGAGCTCAGTTCTTATTCGGCCTGATTGCTGCTGTACATGTGAATAAAATTTGTTACTCCAGTGGATAAACAATCTTCCCTAATCCTTTCTGTTCCGATTCCATGTTAGATGCTCTAGGCCTTTCAAAGGCCCTGCCATTCTGATGACAGTGTAGCAGGGGCCACAGGTTTACAAGCCTAAATGCATTAATATGAAGATGGGATGGTTTTGCATGTGATTGATACATAAAGTTTGCTTCTAATGTGATCTGGGTAGAACTTATCTGGTTGAGAATCTGTTATTTCTGCCCCATGAGGGCCCTAGCCTGACTGTGTCTAACCCAGGGGTGGGCAAACTGTGGCCCATGGGCCGGCTCCGGCTCCTCAGGGCTTTGGATCCGGCCCACAGGATTGCCCCTCATGGTGCCTTGGGCCCCACGCTGCTCTCAGAAGCGGCCGGCACCACATCCCTGTGGCCCCCGGGCGGGGGGGGGCAGAGGGCTCCATGCGTTGCCCTTGCCTCCAGGCACCGCCCCCCGCAGCTCCCATTGGCTGGGAACAGGGAACTGCAGCCAATGGGAGCTTCAGGGGAGGTACCTGGAGGCGCAGCAAGGGCAGAGCATGCTGAGCCCTCCGCTCCCCTCCCCCAGGGGCCACAGTGCTTCCTGGAGAGGTGCGGGGCTGGGGACAGGGCAGGCATGCAGGGAACCTGCCCTGGCCCCAGTGCACACTGCTGCCACCCCAGATCCACTTTAGGTAAGTGGCGCCGGGCCGGAGCCCGAACCCCTCCTGCACCCCGCCCCCCAACTCCCTGCCCTAAGCCCCCTCGTACGCCCTGTACCCCTCCTGCTCCCCAACCCCCTGCCCTGAGCTCCCTGCTGCACCCTGCACCCCTGTGCACCCGAACCCCCTGCCTTGAACCCCCTGCTGCACCCCAACCCCTCCAGCACCCCAACCCCCTTCCCTGAGCCCCCCATACACTCCGCACCCCTCCTCTGCCCCAATTCCTTGCACTGAGCCCCTTACTGCACCCCCTCCCACACCCCACACTCCCTCCCGCACCCCAACCCTCTGCGTCAGCTCTGCACACAATTTCCCCACCCAGATGTGGTCCTCGACCCAAAAAGTTTGCCCACCTCTGTCTAACCCCTAACCCTGTAAGATTGTTTTATGCTTCAAGCAGGGTCTTTGGTGCAAGACATTCTTCTCATTCCTTGTCCTGCAGTACCTAGAGCTGCCTGAGGAGGCACGCAGTGGAGCAGCTGAGTGGTAGGGGGAGAGGACGGCTGTTTAGCAGATTTCCTCTGGTCCCTCTTCAGATGGGATCTCTTGCCTCCACCAGGTGAACAACTCAGTACCAAATAGCACGAGCTCCCTAACTGATGATTGCAGATGTGGCATGCTACTTGTGCCCTCTACCGGTCAAACACTATACCAGAGTGTTCAAAGTCCTGGGTTACCGTATTTCATACTCCTCTACTGCGCTCACACATTCCTGTCATAGTACGCACCCTGCGTTACGTACGTGACGTGCTCCATGCAACAGTCCCACTCCACCCCACGGTACGTACCCGCCCAGCCCGATAGTCCCGGTCCATCCTGCATTACGTACCTGCCGAACCCCATCAAATAAACCCTGCTCAACCCCTGTTACAAACCCAACAGGCCCCGTGCCAAAGTCCCGTTCCACCCATTATGTGTTCGCCCAGCCCCACCAACAGACCCACTACACCCCCCGTTACATACCTGCCCAGCCCCGTGCAACAGACCTGCTCCAAGTGGCATTGCGTCCCCGCTGAGCCCCCTGTGACAGACCCGCTCCAGGCGGCATTGCATCCCTGCCCAGCCCCGTGCAATAGACCCGCTCCACCCCCCATTACGTACCCAATGGACCCCATGCCACAGACCCACTACACCGCGCATTACGTACCCACCCAACCTCGTGCCACAGTCCCACTCCCCCCTGCGTTACATACCCACCAACCTCCATCGACAGACCCGCTCCACCCTGCATTACGTACCTGCCGAGCCCCATCTGACAGACCCACTCCACCTCGGGCTACATACCCGATGAGCCCGGTGCCAAAAGACCCGCTCCACACCACGTTACATACCTGCCAAGCCCCGTGCCCGAGACCCGCTCCACCCATTACATACCCAATCCGGTGCCACACTCACGCTCCACCCTGCGTTACGTACCCGCCGAGCCCTGTCCGAGTTTCACTCCACCCCGCGTTACATACCTGCCTAGTCCCGTATGACAGACCCGCTCCACCCCACGTTACGTACCCACCAAGCCACATGCGACAGACCCACTCCACCCCGCATTAAGTACCCGCCAAGCCCTGTCCGACAGACCCACTGCACCATGTGTTATGTACCCACCCAGCCCCATGCAACAGTCCTGCTCCAGGTGGCATTGCATCCACACCGACCACCGTGCAACAGACCCACTCCAGGCAGCATTGCATCCCTGCCCAGCTCCTTGCGACAGACCTGCTCCACCCCGCATTACATACCCGCCCACCCCCGTCCAACAAACCCGCTCCACCCGCCGTTACGTACCCGACGGGCCCCGTGCCACAGAGCAGCTCCACCCTGCATCATGTACCCGCTGGGACTGTGCCACAGTCCTGCTCCACCCTGCATTATTTACCCGCCAAGCCCCGTCCTAGAGACCCACCCCACATTACGTATTCCTGCTCCAACCCGGGTTACGTACCCAACAAGGCCTGCACCACAGACCCACTACACCCATTACGTACCTGACAAGCCCCATACCATAGTCCCGCTCTACCCATTACATACCCGACAGGCGCAATGCCATATTCCTGCTCCAACCCGGGTTACGTACTCACCCAGCCCCTGTAACGATGCTGCCTTTGGTGGGACATTTCTGAGAATATCAATTCAGGACAAATTGCCTAGAGCAGGGCAGTTACAGCCCAAGGCTGGGGTTTCTCCACTTCTAAGGCACACCAAACCAGCCAGCCAGAGAGGACTTTGGTTTTACCCCACTGGCTAAGCGTAAGTCATACAAGCAATTCCCTTAGATACTCCAGTTTCCCAGTATCACCACCAGTGCCACTCGTTATGGGGACGAATGGTTATGAAAACCAATACCCCAGTAAAAGAAAAAAAAGGTTCTCCCGATCCCAAAGGACCAAGCCGCAGACTCAGGTCAATATATAAATCAGATCTTACCCACAAATCATGCTATTGCCAATCCTTTAGAATCTAAAATCTAAAGGTTTATTCATAAAAGGAAAAAGATATAGATGAGAGCTAGAATTGGTTAAATGGAATCAATTACATACAGTAATGGCGAAGTTCTTGGTTTAGGCACTGGTGGAATAAACTGCAGGTTCAAATCAAGTCTCTGGAGTACATCCACAGCTGGGATGGGTCATTCAGTCCTTTGTTCAGAGCTTCAGTTTGTAGCAAGATTCCTCCAGAGCTCAGAAGCAGGATTGAAGACAAAAGGGAGGGTTTTTCAGGGCCTTTCCTCTGCCCGTGGAAGGACACTCCTTTGTTTTTACTGTGGAAAATCACAGCAGCAAGATGGAGTCTGGAGTCACATGGGCAAGTCACATGTCCATGTCACATGTCCATGCATGACTCAGTTTGCAGGCCAACACCATTGTTTACATGTTAGTTTGAACCTTCCCAGGAAAGCTCAGATGTGGATTGGCGTCTCCCAAAGTCCATTGTCAGTTAAATGTTTCTTGATTGGGCACTTACTGAGAATAGTCCCTTTTCAAGAAGCTAACCAAATGCTTCACTGAGGCTACTTGGAATCAAATACATTTAAGATACAAGTACGTAGCTCATATTCATAACTTCAAATACAAAAATGATACACACATACAACTTAGCATAATTATAACCAGCAAATCATAACCTTGTCATAGAAACCTCACACAACAACCTTTGTACAATATTTGCTGCAAATATATAACAGTGTGGCAACAATGATCTATCCAGTCCTAGTTCATATAAATAACGTCACAGCCCTGTGCCACAGTCCCACTCCACCCCACGTTATGTATGCCCCCAGCCCCGTCTGACAGACCTGCTCCACCTCGCATTACGTACCCGCCGAGCACCATCCGACAGACCCGCTCCACCCCGAGTTACTTACCCGCCGAGCCCCGTGCTAGAGACCCGCTTCAGGCTGTATTGCAGCCCTACCCAGCCCCGTGCAACAGACCTGCTCCAAGTGGCGTTGCGTCCCCACCGAGCCCTGTGCCATAGTCCCACTCCACACCACAGTACATACCCACCCAGCCCCGTGCCACAGTCCCGCTCCACCCCGCGGTACGTACCCAACGAGCCCCATGCCATAGGGCCTGTACGTACCCCACAGGACTGTGCAACAGTCCTGCTCCACTCCACGTTACGTACCGGCCCAGCCCTGTGAGACAGTCCCGCTCCAGGCAGCATTGGGTCTCCACCAAACCCCATCTGACAGACCTGATCCACCCCACGTTACGTACTCAGTGGGCCCCATCTGACAGACCTGTTCCACCCTGCGTTACGTACCTGACAAGCCCTGTGCGACAGACGTGCGCCACCATGATTTACGTACCCAATGAGCCCCATCCGACAGACCCACTCTGTGATGGGTTGGGTCACAGAAACCCCCTTGGGAACTGCCACCTGATGTGCTGGGACTACCTCTGAGCCTGTTTTCCCTGCCAGCTTCAGTACCTTGCCTTGTTTAAGCCAGACGCACTTGCCTGCTGCACACACAGATCCAAGTCTGAACCACATCCTCCACAAGCTATAGGCTAAACTGAAAACAGCTTAAGAAGTGCTCCTGTCTCAAGCACCCAGATACCCAATGGGGTCCAAACCCCAAATAAATCCGTTTTACTCTGTAAAAGCTTATACGGGGTAAACTCATAAACTGTTCGCCCTCTATAACACTGAGAGAGAGATATGCACAGCTGTTTGCCCCGCGGGCTCCCCCCCCCCCGCAGGTATTAATACTTACTCTGGGTTAATTAATAAGTAAAAAGTGATTTTATTAAATACAAAACGTAGGATTTAAGTGGTTCCAAGTAATAACAGACAAAACAAAGTAA